ATGTTACACTCATCAAGAGTTTTCATTTGAGTACCCACATGCATTTTTCATATATTTTATATATTTATATATTTCACAAATTCTATATATATAAAATATATAAAAAATGCCATGTGAGTACTTAAATGAAAGGTCTTGATGAGTGTAACATCGAGATGAGTTTATATCTTAAAAAATGTCAATAATTAAGAAATTACATTGTATTTTGTCAATAAATGACATTTTTAAAGACATAAGCTCATCTCGATGTTACACTCATCAAGAGCTTTCATTTGAGTACCCACATGCATTTTGATATATTTTTCATATATACATATATATATAATATATATAAATATATGAAAAATTGATGTGGGTACTCAAATGAAAGCTCTTGATGAGTGTAACATCAGGATGAGCTCATATCTTCAAAAACGTCAATATTTAAGAAAGTACAGTACAATTTAACAAAAGTTATTATTCAATAAAGCAAAATTTTAATTTTTTATAGTTCACAAGTCAAGGCAGTCACATAGTGACTGCAAGGTTGCTAGTTTATAACAAGGAAGAATAGGATAAAAAAGAAGAAAAATTGATTTCAATAATTGATTTATTTAAATTTATAATTTTAAAATATTTTGAAACATTGCATATTACCTTCATCCTTTAGCATAACAGTATAATGTTTAAAATTTTTTTATTTGTAAGATAAATGACATATTTCTTTTTATTGGATTATATTATGATTCGAAAAATTTTAAGATAACATGGGCATTTATTTATTATTCACTTCTTGCATTGATTAAAAAGTTGAGCGCAATTCATCCCCTTTTTAAGAAACATTTTTTTTAATAAACAAATAGATCTGTAAGCATACTTTAATCTTTATCAACTAAGTCATTGAGAAAATGGTTAAATGATTAATTAAATGATTAATACTTTCTTGCATTAATATTAATAACTTGATGTATTGTTACAAGCCATCTGGTCACTATTTATTTTAGTTTCTTCAAATTGGAAAAGATTTATAGAGGATTCTTTTTTATTAAAAATTTATTGAGCATGCGTATAGTAGGGTAATTTATTTTTTTTTTATTTATTTAATTTTCACGACCAGCAGACTTATATAATTTATTTATAGACAGTTTTTTGTATTTCCTTTGATTTTTTTTCAAATAATGTACATAAAAAAGTATTTTTAAACAACAGAGCGGAGTCTAATAATATTTATTTAACTATTTTAAAAAATTGAATGATATTTGAGCAAAAGTAATTTTATTTTAAATTTCAAAATATTTTTTATTCAATTTTTTTTAATAAGTAAGACTTTTGCTCATAGATATTTTATATAAATTGCGTTATTGAACCTTGCTAAAATATTTTTGTTAGAATTCATAATTTTTTTTTTTTGGCTAAAATTTTTTTTACTAAAAAATTTAGAAAATTTTAACCTTAATTAGATTTTATTTTAATTTTTTTTTAATTCTTTAATAAAAAATTTTTAATTTAAAAATTATTTTCAATATTTAAAATTAATTATACTAATTCTCAACAAAAAAAAGTTTATTAAATTTTAAAATTCAAAATTAATTAAAGAAAATTTTTATAAATTTTAGTACCATAAAATTCCATTTAATTATTACTTCAAATACATTTTTGCAGGTTCAATAGTCGCATATTATTTACTCTACAAATATCTCAAAATGTAAGCGATTAAATTCATTGGATATGTATATTAGGATTCTTTTGTTTAATTTCAATATTTCTGTCCAGTGATGAAAATATTGTAACATATACATTATTTAAAAAAAAATTACAATGAAAAAAATTATAAAAATAAAAATTGATAAGTTAACAAAAAAAGATCATATATTTCATAACTGGACTCTAAATTGATTGTAAAACGCGAAACTTCTCATTTCATTAAGGTACGAGATAAATTATTATTATTATTATCATTATTACTATTAATAATATAATAATATTTTGTTGAAATATTCCAAGTCACAGAAAGATTACAATCACAAGCGCAGAATAATTTTATAAATCAATATCATCGCACCAACAAAATAATCCTTCTGTGTAAAGAATAGTCTCTTTGTTTTATT